CATCCCTGTTTTATCACTGGTGAGTCTTCCGCTGTGTGGATGGAGCACATGGGTCCGTTCTTCTGTTGGTGAATATTTAGGTTGTCACCTGCATGAGAATCGTGGTACTAAGAACATTCATGTGCGAGTCTTGTGGATAGAAACTTCCCTCCTCTTGGGTAGCTATCTAGGAGTGGAATTGCTGGATCATATGACAAGTTTATGTCTCAGTTCTTTCTTTCAATCAGCTTTTTGAAGCATAATTTATATTAAATAAGATGAATGGATTTTAAGTGTTAATTTGACTTATAATTCACTTAACTCTAGTAACCACCACCAGCATCACTATGTAGAAAGTTTCCTTGTGCTCTGTTTGTCAGCTTCTCCACGACTTCAGGTTTTGTCAACCAGCTGTCTACTCCCTGTCACGAAGTTCTGCCTTTTAGAACATTTCTCTTGCGTGGAATCATCCAGCATGTAATCCCTTGTGTCTGCTTTCTTTGCCTTAACATATGCTTTTGAGATTGAGCCGTGTTGTTATTCACACACATACGTGAGCAGCTGAGTACATATTTTAGACTTGGTGAGATACACATTTAGTTAAAGGAGGGAACCCTCAATATAAAAAAAACTACTCTTAGCTGCCTGACACAGGCTGAGCTGGGACTGGGCCAGCTGGCCTCGGTTTGTTTCTGCCTGTTACTCCATAGTGTATGGATGTACACCAGTGTTTCTGTCTGTCGAGCAGTTAGTAGTCATTTAGGTTGTTTTTAGTTTGGGGCTATTGTGAATAATGCTACATGAGTATTTGTGTACAAATCTTTGTGTACATAGATGTTTCTCTTTCTCTTGGGTAAAAGCTTGGCATGCCTTTGTTGTCACACATTAGGTGTCTGGTTAACTTTTTAAGAAATTGTCAAAACTATTTTCCAAAATGGTTGCCGCATTTTACATTCCCATCAGCAGTATAAGAAAACGTCAGTTGTTCCACATCCTGTCAACACTTGGTAGTCTCAGTTGCTACATTTAGGCATTTTATTGTACATACAATATACTCTCGTTGTACTTTAAACTTCCCTAATTTTTTAGGGAATAATTAATAATATCAAGCATATGTTCAGGTGCTTACTATCCGTTCATATATCTTTCTTAAAATGTTTCATCCAATCTTTTGCCCATTTTAAAAACTACCTTCCTTGACTTTTTATTAATGGCTTGTAAAAGTTCATTATATATACTGGTGTTGCCAGTCCCTTATCAGATACCTGTTTTGCAGATATTTTCTCCCAGCCATGACTTGCCTTTTCATTTCTTTGGACAATACCTTTTGGAAAGCAACAGTTAAAATGTTTGATGGTGTCTGTTTTATCAATTCTTTTCCTTTTATGGGTCATGCTTTTTATATCCTAAGATGTCTTTGTCTGCGCTGAGATTGCAAAGATTTTCTTTGGTGTTCTGTTTTCTTACAGAAAACCGTGCAGTTTTTGCTTTTGTGTCTGGGTCCACTTTGGTCCATTTTGAGTACATTTTTGTGTGTGGTGTAAGGTGAGGGTCGAGGTTTTGTTCCCCCTACAGATAGCCAGTTGCTGTAGTTGTTGCAGACTATTCTTCTCCATAAATTTACTTTGACCTCTTTGCCAAACATTAGTTGACCGTATAAGCACGTATCTATTTCTGGACTCTTCTGAATTCTTAAGAGTTTACTGGGGCACATATATTTCACCCGAAAATGAGGCTACAGGTGTGCCTCTCAGTGTCCTTCCTGCCTTTGGAGGCCACTGTGGCAGGTGTGAGGTGGTCGTCTTACCCGGATGTTTGCTGAGATGGGACTGGGGCTTATAGGCATGGTGCCCATGGGCTGCTCGGAGCTTCCGTTCAAGGCAGACCTGTCCTCCTAGTTGCTGCGTTCTGACCAGCTTGTCGTCTGACCACCGCCATCTCCACAGCCACATGCCTCGGCACGCCTACCGCACCACGGCCAGCCCTCAGCTCTGTCTGTGGTGCCCAGCAGCTGGTCACCAGGCTCGCTTGTGTTTAGCTTGGAAAGGCTGTGCTGTCACAGGCGCTCATTGGCAACTGGCTTAATTCCAGAACCTCACTGTGGAGGAGCCTGTCTTCTCATTTAATTTTCAGGGTGGCTTGCAAACAGAGCTGATGGGATGATTTGAGAAGTTACAGCTACCCTTCTGTGCGGAGTCAAGGCTTCAGGCGGGCTGCATGTTGGGGAGCAGCCTCCACCAGGCTGCCCGCTGCCCGTGGATTTGCTAGCTTCTGGCCCCTGCCCGCTGCCAGAGAGCATATCCTTGGGTGCGGGTCATCTCAGCAGGATGATTTCGTGTCAGCTTTCAGCTTGATGCTGTCACCCGGCCCTCACTAGACGAACCACTGTCCGAGGGGCTGGCAAGCCCCTGCAAGGTGCTGGGGGCTCACATCACTGGGACATCTGTGCTCTTACTTGATGCAAGCTGGCACCTGCCAGGGGGGAGTTTGCTGGTCAGTGGAGATACCGCTAGGGGACTGAGGGCTGTGGCTTCATTCAGCTGGTGTCCAGTGACTGGTCAGGGCATCTCAGGGATGCAGCCCTCCTGCCTGGCACTGGCCACCATGCCCTGTGGCCTCAGGGAAACCCAGGCCTTAGCCCGCAGGCCTCTGAGGAGCGGGCGGAGCCTCACTTAGGGGATGGAGTCCTTGAAAGGCATCATGTTTCACCCTCTTTCAGCAACTTTATTCTCTGCTTTGCAGCAGCAGAGGCAGAGGCTGCCCTGAGCGCTGGGGCTGCCGTGAGAACTGCCTTCTGCCGCGTGTGCAGGAGCTGCCGGTGCTGGCGCTGGGGAGCTGCTGCCCAGCCGGATGGCTGCTCGGGGCTGTGGGGCAAGAGCGGTGGATGCAGAACCCCATTGAGAGAAATGAGGGCTGCTTGGGGTTCTTTCCACCTCCAAAGCCCCACTGCCTGCAGCCAGCAGTCCGTGCCTGAGGGAATAGGCGCAGCGAACCCTCATCTGGCCAGTGCTGGGCACAGGCCTTGCCCCCGGCTTCCATTCACTCACCCCACTCCCCTTCCGTCTGAGCTGGAGCATGGCTGGCCCCGTTGTTGCCCTGGCCTGTCTAAGTCTGGATATTTTGGGGAGCACAGTCACAGCAGAGGGTCCTGGGCACTCTTGGGGTCTGCCCCCTTGGCCATCCCTGGCCGGGCAGGGCGGGCGGGAGCGGGGCCAGCGTGGGGTCCCGCTGAGCTCTCACACCAAGGCCGCGAGTTCACGCCATCTCTGTTTTTCTCCTTTTTCATTTTGCCACAAGACAGAATTGTATCACACATCTCCAAAACGAGTAAAATGGCATTTCAGCTTCTTGTCTTTATAGACTCTCTGAACTTTAGGAAAGATCATTCTGGTCCCTTTTCATTAATAATGAAAACCAGGGGCAATAAAATGTTCTTAACGTGAGCGTGGCAGGAACAGAGCAGCAGGCGGGGTGAAGGGTGAGACTGGCAGGTACTTCTTCTGCCGGACGAGGTCAGAGCCCTGGGAAGGGGAGCAGCTGAGGGAGGGTCCTGCTTCTTGGACCCCCTGAACTGCATCTAGAGCCTTGGCCGCTCCGGTGTCAGGGCGAGCGGCTGCATGTCTGAAGGGACGGGGACCTCACGGCAGGCAGGGCCTGGCCGAGCCTGGGTTCCGGTCAGTCTTCAGCCCGACTTCCGCTGTTCCCCGGTGGCTGCGCCGCGGGTGCTGGGGAAGGCAGCTGGGGGTGATGGCTGGGCCTGACCACAAGGACGCCGTGCTCAGGGTTCAGGCAGCAGGGACGGGCGTTCTGACTGTGGGTCCTCAACAGCCACGCTTGTGAAGGTTACCCCATCTTTGCTTTTCCCTCCCCTTAGATAAGGGTTCGCGTCAGGGCCTTACCTGAGCAAGCGGCAGTGCTGGCTAGGATGGCATGAGCGAACTGCCTGGGACAGAGCCCGCGGGCTCCTCGGTCAAGGTGAAGGCCCGGCTGCCACGTGATCTCAGGGCTTCTGCTTTAACGTGGCGACCGAGTCTGCACAGGTCACGTCGCTTGGCCGGGTGGGGGCGCTCACCGCAGGGCAGCCAGGAGAGCCTCTTCCCAGGCAGCTCCTCAGACGTGAGCCCCTGACAAGCAGCCCGGACCCCAGAGCCCCAGGAAGATGAGCTTGATGCAGCTTTGTAAACACGAGACGCCTGCAGGCCCCCAACCCCTGCACGTGAGGAGACGACCCAGGAGACTTCGCCACCGTCGCAGACCGGGCTGGCGCCCCGCTGGGCACGAAATTTCTTAGAGCCAGTGATTAGGAAACTGAGTGGGAAAGTGGGGACACAGCACCCCACAAAGGAAATACAGATGACAAGACAGACGTTCAGCTCACAGACAGTAAGAATGAGGGAAGTTCTGGTGTCTGCCCCGGTGTTGGCTGAAGTCTGTACCCCGCTGTGCGCGCCCCGCTGAGCTGGAGGCGTGGAGGCACAGGCCCTGCGTGGGGGGGCAGCGTGGGGCAGCTCTCAGGGCTGCCGTGCATGTCCCTCTGACCCCCTCCCGGGACCGAACTCGCCTGTGCGGGCCTCCCCCGGGAGCGGACGCGTGTGGCCACGGACGCGCAGAAGCCACGCCCGCCACGAGCCCGCCGTCCTGGGCCAGCCGCCCAGGGCAGCAGCGCTCCCTAGGCTTTTGAGTAAGCAGGAGCTGCTGTCCTTGCCCCGTCCCACTTCCAGGAGGATCCCGCCCAGTCTGTGGCCCCAGCAGGGCTGGCCCTGCATTTGCATGGCCCGAGCGAGAGTGCTGATGTCGGCCCCCGGACCCTTCATTCCTTGGGCTGGGCCACAGCCAGGTCTCCTGGCACCTCTGCCTCCCTGGGCAGCGGCGGAAGGTCCGGGGCGTGGCCAGCGTGCCTGCCTGGTCACAGACAGTCTCTGCAGCTGGTGCCACCGCTGGTGTGCTGAGCGGGCTGGGTGTCCGCCCTGCCCAGGGAGGGACGGCGCCCCTTCTCCTGATGTGCCTTCTCCCCACCCTAGGCCCTGCGGGCTCCCGATGGAGAGATTACGGTGCCTTGACCATCATCATGGCGGGAATCGCCTTTGGCTTCCACCAGCTCTACAAGGTGAGTCTGTCCTTGCCCGCATCCACACACCCTGTGACCCGTCTCCCTGCCCTGAGGCTGCTGTGTGTGGCGGTGCTCAGCCCTGGGGAGTGAACACACACTCTGCTTCAAGCCCTGGCGTCCCTTCTGCCGTGGCCTGTGGCCCCAGAAGGGACGTGGAGGAGGGCCCGGTGTCCCTCCTCTGGTCCCTGATGCACAGGGAGCCTGAGGCCAGCAGTGGACAAGGCCTGTCAACTTCTGGGAGCAGCGCCTGGCACACACGTGGCAGTCAGTACATCTTGGGGACAGGATGACGTGCGGATTCTGAGCCGGGACCTGGAGCCCGCTGCCCGTGTCGCGTCCTGGCTCTGCCCTGTGGGCTGCCCGGGGTCAGAGCCCCTGCCCCCTGAGTGGGACCAGCGCAGCAGGCTTGTGGGATCCGTTTTCTGCCTCCTGTGTATTGTACTGGCATCCACAGAAGTCGGAGACCTTCCCTAGCCTCCTAATCCACCCACAGGACCCCTGGCCTCATGGCTCACAGCGGTGTCAGGGGGGCACTTGCTGCCCGAGACCTGAGAGGCTGACTCTGATTTGAGGCCAGTGAATTCTGAGTGGCGCAGAGCCAGGCCAGGTCCCCGGACCCAAGAACACTGGCCAGAGGGCTCACCCCACCTCCTGGGGCCACCTGCAGCCCCACCCTTATTTGGAGATTCTGGACTGAGCACCGAGTGGGCGCTCACACTCCCTCCTGGGCCCGCACGCCTATGCGTGCCAGCATTATGCCCTGGGGCTCCACATTGCGAGCCGGCCAGCAAGGGCCAAGCGTTTCCCTGCACAGCACCTGCCCGTCCCCCAACAAACCCTCCCCTTCCCCTCCCTCCCCACCCCCAAGCTGGAAATCCGCGTGCCAAAACCCAAGAAGCAGAATGTTCTGGACCCGGGCTTCGCCCTCTCATTGGGGCCTGCCCTTGCCGCGCACCTCCTATGTGGCGAGCTCCTTCCCAGTCGCCGGTTGCTCCTGCTCCCCGAGAAGAATAAAGGCAAGACGGGGTGTCAGCTTAATGCCTGGGCCCTCCTGAGAGCGGCACCAGAGGGCGGATGGTGAGGACAGACGACAGAGCTGTTTCCATGCAGCTCGGACCTTTCTCTCTGTTTTGAAGAAGAGAAGAGACCAGAAAAGAGCAGTCTTGGGGCGATGAGAGGGTTTTCAGCAACTCTGCTAATTGTTTCTTTAAATTAAGAAAATTAAAAAGGGGCAGAAGCTGCTTCGTTGTCACTTGGTTTTAGAAGATCTGGTCGAGGGTCATGTGTGTTCCTGCCCTTGGCATTTCTGATGTCAGAAATGGACTTTTGGGTAGTGACACACGTGAGTCTGACTGTACTTAGGTACGTGTCCACCTGGAATGAAAGGCTGCGCTTGCTGAGCTCTGCTCAGCTGTGGCCAGTAACCCCCGTGGCGGCTGGAAAGCACTTTGCTAGAAACTAGAAGCTGGAAACTGCTTCTGCCAGTTTGCTGTGTACCGACCTGCACTTCGGGGTCCCTCTGGAAGTGAGCTCTCCCGCATCCCGTGAGAGACGTTCTTCTGGACCCTGGCACAGAACTCTGACGGAGAAGGCGCTCTCTTTTATCTGGGGTCTGCGCTGGGCCACCCTGAGTGCCCCCAGTCCAGGTTGGCTCCAGGCCTCGTGCTGGGCAGAAGGCCTGAGCCCCGGGCCTCAGAGCGCCCCGCCCCTGCAGCTCGCCCGCAGCACCCACCGCGCCGCCTGCCGCCTTCCCAGATGTCCGGAGACCCCCGTGCCTGGCCCGGGCCACGCCAGGCCCTGTGTGTCCCGCGGCAGCAACTTCCCTCCTCCCCCACCCCCAGGTTCTTCTGGCTTGGCCCCTTCAGCTCCGTCCCTGTCCCAGTTCTGGGGACTTCGGCTGCCTTTGGTGCTCAGCTGGGGCAACTCCTTCTGAGGGTGCAAGGCGGCCTTTAGGAGAAGACCTCAGAACCGGCCCTGGAGGCCACCCCGGTGGACAAACCAGAGGCCCCAGCCACTGCTGTTGGTTTTCATCTAGTTTCTACATAATCCTGTTTGTTCAAGTTGACTCATTTGTTTCTGACTGGATGGCTCCTTCCCGTGGTTCTGGTGGGAAGACGCAGGAAAAGTTCAGAAAAGTACACCCCAGAACCTCCTCCTGCTCCTCAAGGAGACACCGCCACAGCCCGCCGCCGCCTCAGGCTGCTTTCTTGTTTCCCTCCCAGATCTTGCCCGACACCTCTCCCAGTGAGTTTTTTAAGTATCTTTGTCATGGAAACATCCCATCTAGCACCATTAAGAAAATGAAATAACCACATAGGAAACTAAAGAAAGAACCAGAAAGTTCTCCATCACGGCAGATCAAATTGATCCTGCCTGTCCTGACCCCCGGTCCCGCCTGGCTGAGCCCGGGAGAGGACGCGGGGGGCTGTCAGATGCCGTTCCTACGGACGGCCTTGCTCAGAGCCCCCCACCGGTGGGCAGGACGGGAGTGTGGGGGATGACGACCCCAGGCGCAAGGCCACCCCCACGCCCACCCGCTTCTTGCAGAAATACCTGCTCCCCCTCATCGTGGGCGGCCGAGAGGACAGGAAGCAGCTGGAGAGGATGGAGGCGAGTCTCTCCGAGCTGAGTGGCAGCGTGGCCCAGACAGGTAAAGATTAATGACTCCATCAAGTCACCCCTCAAAGCCTTCTCCGAGCAGCCCCTTCTCTGCCCCCTCCCCTCTCCCCTCCGTCTCCACTTTATGTGGTGACTTCATTTATCTGCTCTGAGAATCTGTTCACATTTGCAAATGAAGCCGCCGTCATTTCGGTTTAATTTGAAATTGCTTGTTTACTGTCGGCGCGGCCTCAATTAATTATGTTTTTACGGAAAGGCTCCCAACCTCAGAATATTAATAAGGGGAATAAAATGACAGCCTTTCTAAGGGCTGTAAAGTTCATTTTTAATTTCTGCTTCTGTGAGGTTTTCAGGGGGGTTTTCAGTGGTTTTCCCCCTTCCCTCAGAGAACCCCACGCGGGGTCAAGAGAGGCTGTAATTACTGCGGCTCGCGGGACCCTGGCCACCTCCTCTGTCACCGACTCCACGGGCTGGCGCTCATTACCCAGCGCCCCCATGATGGCCCAGATTAGCTGGGACCTGTCGCGCCGGGGCGGCTTCTCTCCTTATAAACTTGTTTACCAGGTGGTGGCTGAGTCTGAAACTCCGCCGGCGGCCTGTCCCGGGCAGGAGTTTGGCCCGTCGGGGCGCTGGCGCAGACTCTGCTGTGGGTCCTGTGCTTCCACCGGAGCTCTGGGGGCGCTGCTGGGCCAGCTTCGGGGAGCGGGAAGGCAGGCATTCGCAGTGTTAGCCAGGAGCCGCCGAGAGCCCTGAGCTGAGGCGTCTGGCAGCTGGAGACTCCCGCGAGCCCTACAAGGACACGGCGGCCTGTGCGGCGGGCAGTGGGCAGATGTGATTAGTGGGGAGAGGCTTTGGACGGACATGCTGTCCACCACGGACAAGTGCACAATAGCGACAAGTAGAGATACCAGAGGTTAAGACTCCGAGCAGGTGGATCGCTCAGCGCGGGGATAAATTACAGGGCTGTGGGCTGGGGCTGTGGCAGAGTTAGCTGTAGCAGCTTCTGGGTGCGTGGACAGACGTGTGGTTTAACAGAGATTCGGCTGCTCTTTCCCCAGTGACGCAGTTACAGATGACTTTAGCCTCCGTCCAGGAGCTGCTGATTCAGCAGCAGCAGAAAGTCCAGGAGCTCGCCCACGAACTGGCCACCGCCAAGGTACCAGCCCCACCCCGCCCCTCCGGGCCCAGGCCGCCCACTCGGCTCCGTGCCCTTGTCCTTTGCGCAGGGTCGGGCCTTCCGAGGGGCCCGGCGCGGCCGCGCCGTCACCCGCGCTCCCCAGGCCCAGGCTGCCCGGGCAGAGGGAGGAGGAGGGCGCGGCGGAGGGCTTTGTCCCGGAGACGGCCCCCTGCCACCTCCGCGGAGGAGGCCGCGCCCAGGTAGCAGGCCTGCCGGAGCTGGTGGGTGCAGGTGTGGGCGGTCTCCCCTCAAGTTGGCGGGCAGGCCCGGCAGTCTGGGAAGGGCCCCCGCTGCGCCGGTGCTGGGCCGCCCGGGCCGCAGGGCCGGGCTCTCTGAGCGGCGCTCAAGGCCGGCCCACCGGGCGCGGTAAACACTGGGGTCTCCCCGCGTGGGCTCCACACCACGTTGCCCAGGTCTTAGCCGCCTGCCCTGGCGCAGACCCGCCGCCGCGAGAGCCGCTGCCCTGTGTCCTGGGGGAGGCGGAGCTGCCGCGGCTCCTCCCCCACTGCCCCGTGTGCGGGTCGCACCTCGCTCACGGTGGTAGGATCGCAGGGTCTGGCCTGCCCTGCCCTCGGGGCTTGGGTCACCCCCGAGGCTCTGTCGTGGCAGGCTGGCCTTCAGCTCCCACGCAGCTCAGACTTAGTGGAGGTTCTGGGGTCACCCCACCCCAGTGTACAGCTCCGTGCGAGCCGGTGCCCAGTTCTTCTGCACTTCAGAACCCGGCAAAGGAGGGTTTTCCAGGTCCAGTGGAAGCCGGGGTGCCCTGTGAAGAGGGTGCCCCCTCCCCGTGCTGCCTGCACTGCTTCCTCAGATGGCCGTGGTGGGGTGGCCCCCTCCCGGCCCCGCGCGTGCCCGCGGGCCGGCGGCCCGTAAAGCAGCCGGGAAGGCCGCCTCGCCGCCTGCCCGCTCTATTATCTTTCGGCGGGTGGCCTGCCAATGGCCAGAAGCCATTCCGGAAATTGGAAAACTGTTTTCAGACCTTAAGCATTAAGATTAAGACCACATGTTGCGTTTGAGAGGGGAGGGGCCCAGGGTTGTGCTCGGTGCAGAGAGCTGGCTGAGAGATTCTTGCGCTGTTTTAAGGCTTTTTTGAGGCCTGAGAGGCCCCTCCCCCCTGCACCGGAGCAGGGCTAGCGAGGGGTAACTGGGCGTGTGAAGACTTCGGTTACCCCATAAACCAAAGACTTAGAGTGGTGTTTTCTCAGCTGTAATGTAAGTTTTTATTTCTGGCTTCCAAACTCCTACTGCAGCACTGTAAAAAATTAAAAAGAAGAGCGTTAAGTAATTAAAAAACCTATATAAAACTGAAGGCTGGGAGTTTTCTACAACTGCTTTTTAAAGAGACTGGCTAAAAAGCCCCAGATGTCAGATTTTATTTCTAAATCCTGGCATCTGGCACCATATGCGTTTGGAAATTTGAGTCCTTTGTAGGCCGGTGAGTGGAAATTGCTCCCTTGTTAATGGGCTGCTAGAGCTTTCAAGGTCTCAGGGAAGCCAGAACAGTGGCTCCCGGGTCTGCACTGTCTGGGGTCTGGAGTGGGCCCAGGAGACCCGCGTGAGGCCTGGCCGCGCGTGCTGGCTCTGACACTGTCCACTTGTTCTCCTGGCCCTGCAGCGCCTCCGAGGGGCCCCTGCCCTGTGCACCCCACGCGTGGCCTGTGGACCCGACGCGTGTCCGGCCCTCCTGGCTCCTGACTTCTGAAGTCAGGGCCGGTGGGGTTTCCCTGTCAGAGGGCAGGGCCTCCGTGCGCCTCCCCCAGGCCTGGGCAGTACCGACCGGCACCCTGGGGCTGCCCTAAGCCTCGAGACAGCTTGGCCACTGACACCTTGGAGGCCACACGCTCAGCCCTTCTGGCCTCTGCCGACGCAGTGTGCCGGGGCGTGGCTGTCTGGGGGCTGAGAACACGCCCAGCTCAGAGGGGAGGTGTGCAGGGAAGGGGCATTTGTTGGAGGGCGAGTGGCCGTCCCCCTCCGCGGGCCTGTGGGTGGAAGGCGTGAGGCCCAGGGTAGCTTCCTCTGCTGAGCTTTCAGGTCATCTAGTTCTGACAGAGAATGGTCCTGGAGGGTGGCTTTGCAGACACTGGTCCCAGGCCTGACCTCACAGGGTTGGGGGCCAGGCCGGCTTGAGCTGAGGGCTGGCAGGGACCAGGCTTGGCGCGGAGCTTGATGGCTCTGTGGAGGGGCTCTGGGGGGCTGGAGTCGGCGTTGGTTTCCTTGACTGGGTTTGCCTTAATGGGGCATTTCCCATGCAGTATAGTGGAGGGGCTGTGCAGTGACCCCTCCCGCCCCACCCACTGGCCGCAGCCCGCCACCCCTCAGGTCTGCCCCATCTCTGCCCACACCCTCACCTCCACTTCTTTGAAGTCCATCCCAGATAGGGAGTCATTCATATTGCAGACACTTTGGTGTGTATTTCTGAGGGGTAAAGGGCTCTTCTGGTGTTGGCCTTAATTTTATTTTACATAACCAGAATGCCATTATTACATGGAGATATCTGTCACGGCTTCTGAGAATCATCAATTCTCCAAACAGAGTGGTGTGAATGTTTACTTTGAGGGTGTCTTCATTTAAACAGAGACCCAGGCAGGCAGACCCCTGAATGGGCAGAGGCAGAACTTTCCAGGGGGTCTCCCGGCTGCCTCTCAGGACACAGAATGTCTCCAGGGCCACCTGCCGCCTGGGCATCGGAGGCCGCAGGCTGGGGAGGCCTAGCTCACGCTCCTCCCCTGTGTTGCAACTTTCAGGCCACCACCTCTACCAGCTGGATCCTGGAGTCCCAGAACATCAATGAACTCAAGTCGGAAATTAACTCCTTGAAAGGGCTGCTTCTGAATCGGTAGGAGGAAGGGGCGGGCGGGGCTCTTGGCCGGTGGCGCTCCCTGCCTGTCCTGCCCTGGTGAGCCCAGGTCCAGGCAGTGAGTTGCAAGTCCCCTGAGCTTGTTACCCTTCCTCATCGGCTCCCTCCCTCGCCATCCCAGGGGTGACAGGTTGCAGTCCCCCCAGAATTTTGGAATGCAGGCTTTCCCTTGGGCCTGTCGGGACCTGGGCAGGTCCGGCTGTAAAGCAGGACTCATTAGAGATCCCTCACCCAGAGAGGCCAGTCAGCCCCCATGTCCTGGGCCTTCCTCCTCCCCGCCCCCTACCTGTTGCCAGCTTGGTGACAGCATCGTCCCACAGGAAGCCCCCACTTTCTGCCTGCCCGCTTTGAAGAGCTCCCGACTCTAGGTACAGGCAGGGCAGAAGCGGCCCCTGCCTCTCCCCTCCGTGGGGTCCACCGCTGCCCTCTCCAGTGAGTCTTGTGCCCGGAAGGCTGTCACCGGCACGGCCCCGAGTGCAGGGTGAACACTTGTCCTGGTTTTAAAGCCCAGAGTCCAGTGTCCCCGGAGCCTGCTAGGGACTGGGGGTTCCGGTCATCCTACCTCAAGGGTGTCCAGCTCAGCCTGCACACAACGGCCTGAGGACCCACTTCCCACGCCGGCCACTTCCAGGTCCTTTCTAAAGGAAAGGAGGTGGCCTTAAGAGATGTGACCAAGCTTGGGGTGTCATCAGGAGAGACCTCTCCTTCCAGGCCTGGGGGGCAGAGGGCTTTGAGGCCCGAGGGACGGAGAGCGGGCCCCTGGGTATTGCTGGAACCAAGAAAGCGCAAGGCGGAGTTGCTTGTCGGCGTCTTGACACTGTGTGGCCTGGGCTGTGGTGAGGCCCGAGGTGGGGCGGTGCCAAGGAGACGGGCCGCACAGGAAGAGCGGGCCCTCGCCCGTGGCCTGGCCACTGCCAAGTGGGCCTGCCCTCCAAGGCCCTCCCGAGGCTGGCTTCGGTCTGGGCTGGCTGCGGGCCCAGCGCCCAGGGTGGAAAGGAGCCGAGAGCTGCTCTGCCTGTGGAGGGTTGAGTCAGGTTTTCTAGCGAGTCGCCCGCGCTGCCCTGCGGGCTGATGTGTCTGGCTCTGCAGCCCCTGGCCCGCTCCCGGCTCCTCCCCCGTTAGAGGCCAGCCAGGTGTCCTGGCCTCCAGAGCTTCTGCTTCCCTGCCCTCTCCAGCTCGCAGGGCAGAGGCCGGGCCGGGCTGAAGCATGGGAGGGGCGGGACTCCGCGGGTGACAGGCCCTGGGGTCTGCTGTCCAGCAGTTGCCAAGGCGGGGCTGGGGCCAGGGTGGGGAGACCCGGGAGGCAGCCCCAGCGGGCGGCACCTGCGGCTTCCCTCTGGCTGCTGCAGCCTCCACGCAGCCAGGCCAGTCTGACAGGCGAGGGACGGAGGGAGGGAGGCGAGTTGGGGTGGGCTGCAGAGCTCAGGTCAGCAGGGTGCTGCTCCACCGGAGACGGGGCCCCGGGTGCTGTCACCAGCCGGCCTGTGTCCCCTTCCCTGCCAGGAGGCAATTCCCGCCGTCCCCGTCGGCCCCGAAGATCCCCTCGTGGCAGATCCCCGTCAAGTCGCCGTCGCCCTCCAGCCCCGCGGCCGTGAACCACCACAGCAGCAGCGACATCTCGCCGGTCAGCAACGAGTCCACGTCGTCGTCGCCCGTGAAGGAGGGCCACAGCCCCGAAGGTGCCACCGCGGCCTACCACCTGCTGGGCCCCCAGGAGGAGGGAGAGGGGGTGGTGGACGTCAAGGGCCAGGTGAGGATGGAGGTGCAGGGCGAGGAGGAGAAGAGGGAGGATGAGGAGGACGAGGATATGAGCCACGTGGACGAGGAGGACCGCCTGGGGGTGCAGCGGGAGGACCGCCGGGGCGGGGACGGGCAGATCAACGAGCAGGTGGAGAAGCTGCGGCGGCCCGAGGGTGCGAGCAACGAGAGCGAGCGGGACTAGGCCGCGGCCCCCAGCGCGGGCGCCTGCTGGGGGCGGAGCCGCCGCCTGGGCCCCTGCCCCACGCCCGTCCTCCGCGCGGCCCGGCTTGCGTTCCGCCCACCCAGCTCCTCTCGGCCGCCCGAGTGCAGCCCTGCGCCTGCGCGCCGACGCCCCCTCGACCTGTTCCGCGTCGGCCGAGGGCGCCCAAGTCTCGGAGTCGCGTGCTGTCGGCCGTGTCTCCGGGCAGATGTGCGCCGGGCGTGTCTGCTGAGCGTCTGGGCTAACTCACCACCGTGCATGGCGAGCGGCAGCTTAGTCACCTGCTCCTGACCCCAGCGAGGACGTGCTGCAGCGGCCGTGCCTGCCGTCCCGTCCCTCCCCGCCGCCCTCCCCGCTCCTCTCGGCGGGACCAGCGGGGCTGCGGGGCCTCTCCTTCTGTTTCCCGAAGCCACGTGCCGAACTCCTCGCTGTGAAGGCCGCCCAGGCCCTGCCCGCCTGCGGCTTCGTGTGCCTACCCCGGCCCTGGCGTGCCCTGCCCCCGTCCGGACCCGCACCCCCACGCCGCACTTGGCGGCCTCGCTTGCCGTGGGGGCTCGGCGCCCGGGAGACGCCGCACTCCCTCCTGCTGGGCGGCGCAGGGCCTCCCTCCGCCTCCCCGCCCGGAAACACGTTCGTTTGTGTGATCAGGTGTAGGTTCCAGAGTATAAGATACGACTGTATATAATTGTAATAAATGCGAGTTGCCACTATTTAACTCCTGCCTGCGGCTGCCTGTCTGCCCAGGGCCTGCGCCAGGTGGGCCCGGTGGCGGTGCGCAAAGGGCACGTGGACGCTGGGCCTGGCCGCCTCTGCCGCCTGTCGGGAGGCCTCTCGGCCACCCAGCTGGCCCGGGGCGCGGTCCTCCTCCCGAGCGAGCTTGTCAAGGAGCGGCGTGCGCCCTGGCCAGCGGGGCCTCCCGTCGGCCGTACAGGCCTGAGGCTAGCCCGCGGCCAGCGGGTGCTGAGCAGGTGGTGAGCGGGTGGCGAGCGGCCTTCTAAGTGGGTGAGTGCTCCCAGGGAGCCCTCTTCTCTCTTCCTCCCCGTCTCCTCTCCAACCCCTGCGCTGTCTCCTTCGACCGCCACACAGCATTGACGGAGCCCAGAAAAGCAGGGCCCTGTGCTCCTTCTGAGGGGCCCCCAGTGGGTGGTATGGCAGCGTGGGGACAGGCCTGGCGCCGCCGGGCGCCTTGTGTGGGCACAGGCTGAGGGGACCGCTCGGGGGCGGCGCCTTGGGAGCTGAACATGCAGCTGGCCGTGCCCCTGGGCTGCAGCCGCCACGCTCTGCGCCTCTGCCCGGGCGTGGCCACAGGGGAGCCTGGCTTCACCGGCTGCTTCACCTCAGGAAGCATTCACCTCCTGGCCAGGGCCCTGTGCGGCTCGGCGGCCGTTCCCCACAGCAAGCCCACCCCCGCTGCGGGCCGGGGCTCGCCCAGGGTGACGGGGTGGCCAGCCTGGCCGCCTGCTGTGGGTCCGGCCCTCCGGCCGGGGCCCCGTGCTCCTCGGTGCTCAGAGCCTCGTGTGACCGCCCTGGGCCTTCCTGCCGCGTGTGCCCTCGGGACAGAAACACGTGGGACCTTGGCTTTGCCTCCTTGCCGTTCCCCAGGGCCTGCCAGCAGTGTCGGGGCGCACGAGAGAAGGGCTGAGGCTTGTTCCGAAGCGCCCCCTGGCCCCTGGGCCTTGCCGTGCGCACGCCCACCTCCCTGCTGTCATTGCTCCTCGTGGGTGGAAGCTGAGGGGCTCACAGGCCTCCCCTTTTGCGTGGCCAGCAGCAGTGGGCCCAGGCAGGGAGCCCAGGGCAGACGAGCTGGACAGAGACACAGGCAGCACTGCTGGGGGACAGCACAGACCTGTCCCCAGAGCAGGCTTTCTGGGCCCCTGTGACCCAGGCGGCGGCTGTTTTCTCCCGCCTGGGGGCTCCCGTGTAGGGAGGAAGGGTGGGAACCTGGGCCCGAGGCCTTTCGCCCTGCGGGTCCCAAGCTCTGATTTCGGCTTTTGAGGACAGAGAGTCTGGCATGATTTCAGGGAGAAGAAAACCCCTCCCCAAAACGGCGTGAGTGCTGCCTAATAAAGGCAGCTGCTGGACGGAGGAAAAACAGCCCTTTGAAAAAAAGCCTTTCATTAGAAAAATAATGCATTTCATCCAAATAAGGTAAAAATATTTGGAATGGGGCAGAAGTGAGCAGCAGGCAGCGCCTGTCAGGCCCTTTCTGGAAGGAGACGATTATTAAGCTCAATTACAATGTATTTTTGTAGTGTGTCTTTAGGAAAGAACTTGCCCCGCGCTGGGAGGCCAGGAGGGCTCTGCTGGCCCGGCCTGTCCAGGCCCGGCGTCTCGTGGGCCTGCCCGGCACAGCCCTCCTGCGGAGCCCGCTGGTGCCCAGTGGCAGCCTGGCCCCGAGCCGGCGTGAGCCTCCCCGGTGGCTCCGCCTCCTGCTGTGTGTCCACTGCCCCGAGACCCCTGCCCACCCGGGAGGCCCTCCTGGGGAGGGCGGCAGCGGGGGCCGGGTTTGGCCCGTAGATGCCCACCTCCCTTCAGCTTGTGGAAGGCGCCGTCAGGAGGCGCTGCAGAGGACCCCTCCCGCACCGCCGGGCGCCAGGCGCCCCGGGAGGCAGCAGCGCGAGGCTCCGGGCGCTGTGCGGCCGCTCGTCTCGCCAGCAGGCAGTTGTGTGTCTCCGGGCCCGCCTGCGGCAGCTGGGAGCCAGTGCTCTGGAGCCGGAGCCCTCCTCACCTCGGCCTGCCCGCCTGCCCCAGCCCCCGGGCAGACCCACAGGGAAGGGCAGGCGGGAGACGCTGCTGACAGGCCGACGGCTGATGCCGGGGAGTTTACTTGGCCGCCAGTGTTTCTTGTCTGCTTGTTTAAGATGGTTCTGTCAGGCACCCAGCATGCTGAGAGCCCCCTGACGGCACGCCGAGGTGCCAGTGCGCCCCGCAGGTGGCAGTGCCTCGGCCCCAGGTGCTGTGCTGGGCGCAGATGCGCGTCCTGGCGGCCCCTCCTGCCCCAGCAGCGTCCCGGCCCCGCTCCTCTGCCGCGGAACCGAAGGGACAGCCGCTGGCCGGGGTCTCCTCACGGAGGACCCTTCGCACTCCAGCCGCCTGCCCCCACCCCCACCCCAGCGCTCTCCGGAGCGGGAAAGCTCCGTCTGCTGGGGGACTGTCACCTGGGTCGGCACCCCTTCGCGGTGTGCTTTTGTGCGCTGCCCAGCTCGTCGCTGTGTAAGAGAACAAGGTGGGTCACTGCGGGAGCAGGATGGCCGGCGCCGTCCCCTGCCAAGCCCCGGACGGCTGGCCCGGGTGCCAGGCTGCGTGTTAGAATCACCTGGGAGCTCAGGCGCGGGCCCCACGCATCCCTGGCTGGCCGGCCGGGCCCATTTCCAGAGCCTCGCCAGCTCCAGCGCGGCCCAGGTCCAGGGCGCCCGGCCAGCCCGGAGGCTCCAGCCAGGGTCTTGGGGTCCGTGATGTCTCCCTGCAGTGCTGTGGGAGTGGGGCTCGCGGAGGTCCGGCTGCCCCTCCTGCATGGACTGTCCCCGCCGGGCCCATCCCAGAGGGCGGGGTGGCTGGTCCCACAAGGGTGGCACAGGCCTGGCCCGTTCATTCCTGGCGAGGCCCCCGTGAACCAGCCCGTTGGAGGGGCCCTGTGGTCGGCCCTGCGTCCTGGGGTCCTGGGCTTCCCTCTGCACTCCACTTCCCTCTGAGTCCCCCTTGGGCACTCAGGTGGACTGGGCACTCCGGCCTGGCTGTGCGTGGCGGGGCTGCCTGGGGCTGCCCTGGGGTGGGTGCAGGTGGCGGGCGAGGGCTGCTGGCCCCGCAGCTGCTGGTGGCACCGCGGCCTGTGGGCGGAGAGCAGGCCACCAGCTCGGGGTGAGCCTGTGCATCTGGTTCTGGCTCTTTCCAAGAGGTTACAAAACTCTTGAATTTGCCCCAGTTTGGGTGTAGGAGCCACACGCCCCACAGCTAATTAAATCCCAGAATGAAAACATGTTTTACTGAGCTTCCTACTGAGGCCAGCAAGCCACAGGGAGTGTTTGGGGCCTGGGCCCGCCCCACACCCCTGGGGTGGGGGCCCTTGTAACTGCAGGCCCCTCCCTCCAGGGGGGCACCAGCTCCTGCCGAGCATGGTGAGGCGTCTCTGTTCAGCCCGGTCAGTGGGCCGGCCCCGTGTCCCCGCCCCCAGATTGTTCTGAGGGGACCCCGAGGCCCCGTGCCCCTCCCCTGGGCCTGGCACAGAGCCTCATGACCCATCGCCCTGGGCCCCGGTCTCTGCCTTGCCCCGAGTCCAGCTTGGAAGCCGGCCCAGCCTGGGGCACTGTGCAAGTGGGGGTGTCTGCCGAGGTCCATCCAGGTCCAGAAGAGCTGGGGGTTGGGGGTCTGGCCAAGGCCAGTCCTGACCATCATGCCCCTGAGCCCCAGGTACCCCTGGGAGCTGTTCCCCCGAGACTCCGGGCCCTGCCTGCGCCCCACCCCCAGCAGCACCCAGAGGGAACCCTGTGGTCGTACCACCCACTCGCCAAGAAGTCCGGGCTTGGCTCCCTGCCTCCCCTCGGGCCCCAGGGGAGGGCGGCCGGCCCACCAGGGCCTGTGAAGCTCCAATAATGGTTTTAATTTGTTGAACTTGTGTTTTATCCCACAAATTAGTCACTGTTTTATTTAACAGAATCGAGATATCCACAAACAATAGGCGAGTTCCAACTTGAACATTTTAATAAGACAGAAAAAAGTCTGTATTTTCGTGTCTGTTACAAACATATTTATGTAAATAGCCTGTGGGCTGCGTTCCAGGAAGAAAGAAGAAAGGGAAGGCTCTCTGCGCGGGCACGCGGCCTCGCGGGGCAGGACGTGGAGGCCCCCGCCTCCGCTGCCCCTGCCCCTGCCGGCCTGTCCCACCCGCGGTGTGCCATCCAGGGAGAGGCTCCTGGAGCTGGAGGAGCTGGGGGCCCACGCACTTCCCCTCCCTGAGGCCAGGCCGCGCGGTGCGGAGCGGGGGTCTCGTGGGAAGGGTCACCGCTGCCCCAGCCAAGCTGCCGCTCGGGCGCGTCGCCGCACACCCAGGAACTGGCCCCCTGGCTCTGCCCCTGCGCGCTCCGGGCGAGCTCCAGACAGGAGCCGAGCCAGCATCCGGATCGGATCCGGGTACGCGCCGTTCCCAGCCCGGGCAGGTCCCTGCAGGAAGGAGGAAGGAGCCGAGGGAGGAGGCAGAGGGTGACCCTGCCAAGCGCTTGCCCAGTAGCCCTGTGGCGGGAGGAGGGGGCTGCCTGGGGGGGCTGGGGCCGTGCCGCCCGCGGTGCCTGTGCCTGAGGCCAGGCTTCCGTGCCAACCGGCTCTGCCCGCCCTGGCTCCCGAGCCACTCTCGGGTCTTCTGGCCAAGCGAGGGGAGGAGGTCACCGAGCCAGGCAGACCTGAGAAGGCGGCCCGTCCCAAGGGCGAGACCGGCCTGCCCCCAGCCCTGCCGCGCCGAAGGGTGACCAACCCCTGCCTCCTGGGCCTGGCACCGGGGCTGGACCCTGGGTCACGGCCAGCCGCTGGGGGCTGACTATCAAAATAAAGATAGCCTGATAGATTTTTTTCCAGTTTTTATTGAGTGAAAATGTCAAACCTTGCATCAGTCATGCAAAAAAAAAAAAATCAAATAAATAAAACACATATATTAAATTTCTAATAGCACTAAATTCAAGTGGAAAAATATTCAGTTCTTAATAACCAGGTGCCGAGGAGACCAGATTCAAGTAATCAGAGCACACGCTGTTCAGTTCGGTTTTCACGTTCTGCATTTTTCGTCTCAAAACCTCTATATATCTCTCTCTATCTATATATGTATATACATATAGATACACACATATGTGCATACATGTCATTTATATTTATATATATACACATACATAGTTATAAAACATTAAAAAGAGCATTGGTGGATCAAGCATTGTTTTCCCCACAGAAAGAAAATAAAACAAAAATTACACATTAAAATTCAAAATGAGCTAGCAATGGCTTATAGTCCTAGTGTGCAATATGAAGTTACAAAAGGCTAGACTTCGCACTGTCCGTCTTCTTTTTCTTTCTTTCTTTCTTTTTTTTGTTTGATTTTGCTACATTGAAAAATGTTTTTTCCTTTACAAAACTCCTCCCGCATGGTCTGCGGTGGGGCACAGTCTGGGCGAACCCCCGCTCAGCAGCAGCAGGGTGCCCACAGATTCAGGAGGCTCTGGTGGGGCTGTTTCTCGGAAAACGATTGAATCGGTCCGCTCATCTGACTCCTCCCTCCCTGCTCCCTCTCCAGTTCAGGGGGTCCTGGCGTTCTGGCTGGGGCAGCCAGGACGACGAAAAAGAGAAAAAGGAAAAAAGGAAACCACTCCCGCCCACCCCACCAGTCAGCTAGCCCCCCGTCCCGGGCTCTCTGGGGACGCCCGGGTGCAGGCGCTCCCCAGGGGCTGGGCAGCCGCCCGGGTCTCTGTCACCCTCGCGGCCGCTGGGCAGGCGTCCACCTGCCAGGTGAGGCTCCTGCTCAGGGCCTCGCGGACCTCATGTTCTCCAGGAAGAGGGCATGTTTGGAAAAAGGACTCAGATCCCAAGAAACATCCCAAACAGGGTCATAAAACAAACGGGTGGGGTGCGGGGTGGGGGGGTGGGAAGCCCTATAAAAGCCACACGCATAACCAAGAGAGAAAAACCAAATGTTAAATTAACTACAAACTTGTATCAACAGTAATAGTCCTTTTTCTTGTCTCTAGAAAATTCAAGTTAAAAGTTGGAATCACGCAGCTCCCGTCAGTGCTAGTGTGAGGACCGGCGGCCGCCGCTGGTCTCCCGCCGGCCTGTCCAGAGGCGAGGCCGCGCGCCCGCAGCCTGCTTTTCCTTTCTTTTTGTTCTATGTAGGGTAATAACCTTTACAGGAAAAATACTGTACAACTTTCGCATTTTTTCCCATTTTGAATAGTGAAGCCCGAGTGGTGGCACCCTCCCTGTGCCCACCAGCTGGGTGGCAGAGGTCCCCTGCCGACCAGGGCTGGGCAGGGGCGGCCCCTCCGTGGGGGGACAGCCTTCCGCGGGGGGCAGCACACCCTCCCGGCCCAACCCCGGCGGCAGTACCAGCCGGGCCCTGCCGATTCCTTGAGATTCCCGCGGGGTCCCTGTAGTGTCGCCGCCGCCCTCTGCCCCGCCCTCCCCCAGGGCCGGGCGGGCGGTCTAGC